CTGATTACCCGCCCAACTTTATTTCTGCTAATGCCTTCAATTTTCTGTCTCGTTCTGGTTCGGTGGCTCTCAGAGTACCTTGTGTGAACTTCATAAGAAGAAAGGCAGTTTATTACATGACAGTTCAGTCACAATGACTAGGCTACCGGCCGGACGTCTAGGGTTCAATTCTCTTCAACTTTGCATTTTACTGTCAGCTACAACGTATTTAGCTCAGAGTATTAAATGAGCAGTTGCACCACTCTTGTCCTCATGGACATGGCATTATCTTAGTATGGGGAAGGGATGGCTAGAGTAGACACTTGAGAGAGGTGAAATCGTCTTTGTTTTGGCTTTGCGTTGTGTTTCTCCAGAGATCGAGGGCACAACTCAGGTTCCTGTTCTCATGAAATGTTAATCGAATCTTGCAGGGCGTTTCTAAACCAAATGCAGTTAGACAGAATATAGGAAGATCTCAACGCGGCCAAGAACGTTAATATGAGAACAACATTTCGGTAACAGTTCTTGGATGACAGGGCACGTGAATCTTATTCCGTCTTGAGGAACAGGACAGATGAATCATGAAAAAAAATTTAGGAACGTAAATGCTTTTGGATGAGCCAAACCATTATCGAAAATATTTCTTTTGCGGTCTTAGGGTAAATATGTGCTGCCTTGTGGGGGGGGATGGTTTACGAAGCCTCACATTGTATAGACAGCATCTGACGAGTGGTCCAGATTTATTTATGTCTCGAAACAAACATAACTACCACCTTATACAACCATACTTTTAACTATTAAACTTATAATAATTTTTAATTATGAGATGTGTGACGGTCGTGGATTACTTTATGGTATTACCGTAAATATTTTCTTGAACAGACACTGAAAAAAAAAAAAAGCAATAGACTTAAATCAGAACAGCCGTTCTCGAAGAAGAAACCTCTCAAAAACAGTGTCGCCAACCGCGACTTGGTTAAAAGTAGGGATTTTTTTTTCCTTTATACTTTTTTAACGATGCTTTGTTTCTGAAGGGTAAAAATCTCAGCATCCTTAGGGACATTTGAACCGTGGCCATGCGCCTCAAAGCCAGTCGCTTTAGTGACTGAACTCACACAATTCATTACAAATTTAAAGACGCACGAAAGGCACCACGGAATAAACTGATATTTTGCCCCTTATATTGCCAACTTCTGCGATAAGATAAAAGAGAGGTTACAACCGTAAAAGCCGATGTATTTCCAAGTCCCCCCCTTTTTTTTTGCGAAATATACTACCCTTAGTGACGCAGTTGATGGGTTACATTTCAGAGCGGGTAGTCTGACTGAAAGGGGAATACAATGAAATTGCAGAGAAAGGAACAAGCAGAGAGGAAATGATGCCTTTGCTCAAAATCCTTTCCTGGTCCTGCTATGTTATTACGAGAAACGTTGAGGGCTACATAGCAGTCAAGGCCGGTGGCTCGAACTTATTATATTAGCGCTCTGAGCTTCGCGTGTGGGTAAAATTGGCCCTTAAACGGTTTTACTCAACCCCATTAATAAAACAGTAAAGTCTGTCTTAAACGAGGCGTGGGATTAAACTGTCTCGATCGGAATATTTCTCTGTTAACGAAAATATAACAATAACAAACTGAAAATGTTGAACTCGGAAATGAGAAATATAAACAACAATTTCACGGAAAACAATCTGCGTGAACAATTGTTCTTGTTTGTTTGTGTAAGTTGTAATTTCGTTTCTGGTTTCAAGAAATTTATCTGACAAGGAACGTTTCTTTCACAAACTGGGAAAAACCATGAAGAAAACAAAGGACTTGGAGAGAAACTTAGTTCTGAGGAAGAATAAAAAATTTACTTCACGGCCGTATACGGTTGCGACGACAAGTTAACAAGAAACAAAAGACGGTCGGTTCGAATTAAATCCCTAAGGTAGATATTAAAGAAGTGGATATGAGATAGAATGTGAGGCCACCAGACTGTCTGAGCTCTTGGAAGGAGTAATTGTTTGCAGGACAGCAAAGAATATCGACGAATTCAATTAAATATTTATGTAAGATTTGAGGTTTTCACAACGGGGAGTATGAAGATTTCTGTCATCTGGGTTGTTGCGCTGTGCAGTCGATGTTAACCAAAGTTTCAGGGGACATACTGCCTCCGTCATCAGGGCGATGAATATATATATTCATCGCCCTGATGACGGAGGCAGTATGACCTCTGCAACGTTGGTTAACATCGACCAGACTACACGGCGCAACAACCCAGAAGACAGAAATCTTCAGACTCTGATGACGGAGGCAGTATGACCTCTGCAACGTTGGTTAACATCGACCAGACTACACGGCGCAACAACCCAGAAGACAGAAATCTTCAGACTCTGATGACGGAGGCAGTATGACCTCTGCAACGTTGGTTAACATCGACCAGACTACACGGCGCAACAACCCAGAAGACAGAAATCTTCAGACTCTGATGACGGAGGCAGTATGACCTCTGCAACGTTGGTTAACATCGACCAGACTACACGGCGCAACAACCCAGAAGACAGAAATCTTCAGACTCTGATGACGGAGGCAGTATGACCTCTGCAACGTTGGTTAACATCGACCAGACTACACGGCGCAACAACCCAGAAGACAGAAATCTTCAGACTCTGATGACGGAGGCAGTATGACCTCTGCAACGTTGGTTAACATCGACCAGACTACACGGCGCAACAACCCAGAAGACAGAAATCTTCAGACTCTGATGACGGAGGCAGTATGACCTCTGCAACGTTGGTTAACATCGACCAGACTACACGGCGCAACAACCCAGAAGACAGAAATCTTCAGACTCTGATGACGGAGGCAGTATGACCTCTGCAACGTTGGTTAACATCGACCAGACTACACGGCGCAACAACCCAGAAGACAGAAATCTTCAGACTCTGATGACGGAGGCAGTATGTCCCCTGAAACTTTGGTTAACATCGACTGCACAGCGCAACAACCCAGAAGACAGAAATCTTCAATTAAATATTGTTGAAAGACAGAGAGGTTTGGGAAGGTAAATCACAAGATAGTGTTCGATCAGAAGACGTTTCTAAGCAATTTATGACAGTAATGAAGACAAAGAGTGTTACTGCTCAGTAATTGCGTTTTGTACAAATATGTGAAGTATTAACATCTTATTTTGGCTCTGGCTCAGGATTGATTAGAAATTATGCAGAATCAGTGGGCTGGTCTCTCACTACTCATAAATGCACACTTCAAGACCAAGAAAACCCATAACTAGGTTGTAGAGCCAAGAAACGACAACTTTAACATCTGGTTTATGATCCAGAACATAAATACGAGATAAAATTGTCTCAAAAATTAAATAAAGAAGTTCACATGCTTTATTATTCTCTTATAAGCAAGCTTTACCACGTCAAAATTTACAAGATTTTATCAACATATAACACATTTTGAATTGAAAACTTGCTAAGGGAGAAGTCTACATGGAAAACCTACACATATGTCAGTGGATGATATTAAAATGAAACAGAACTGTTGATAAGTTTAAACAGCGCTGAAAAAGCGTAGGACAGAACTTTATGCTGAATATTTGTACTGTTATAAATCACAAATTAAGGGTTGCCATGGACATTTAAAGGCAAAAGAATCCTTGAAAATATTGACATAGAAAAGTCTAATTGCAACGACACTCAGAACATCTGATGTGTCCGAATTATGTGACTGGTAATGATGTTGTCTTTCATTATACGGCAACAGGTAAATGTGTTAGTTTTATTTGCTGATTGCACAATGCGAAATTGCGTAATTTAACTACAGGTTTATGTGGCCGGTTCTGTATTTAAACTGCGAACAGAGCAGTACGTAGCCCAACAATGAGGAATGCTGTGTAATTAACTTGCAACAACAAAACGGATTGTCAGTGCAATGGAGTTCGTGTTTAACACCGAACCTCCAAATTAGATTGGCCTTTGTCATCCATACATGTGATGAAACGAGATACATGTAAACTATGCCCTTGTCATTAATATTACTTAAGTAACAGTGAGAGAAAGTGGAGGACAGTGCCAATTGATTGCCTATTTATTTCATTACGTCTTACAAGCGACAGACGTCTTATAGAATTGAGATTGAAGAGGTTAAAGGCTGTCGTAATCAATGTTAAGGCAATTTTAAAACAATTATCTAGAGCTACTAGAGAAAACCTAAATAATCGGTCAAGCTTTTACTCGAAAGCATATAAATCTTTCGATATAACTATCCACCATTTTCCTTATTATGCATTCAGCACACAAATAATTCACTCCACACGCTCCCTGCTTTATAACATGGCATTGTTAAACGATGCGGTATAATTAGCTTTCGTGCTGCCTTAATTCTCTCACGGTTAACGATCCCATACAAATATCTTTTTTATTCTAACCGTGCACGAAATTTCTACGCGACGTAACGCAGTCACATATATTAAAACATTTATACAGCACAGCGAATATAGATAGGGTTTATTTAAAGTTGTTCAGGGAATATCTTCGCTTCATATTAGAGTATTTAATGAACTAGTTTTATGGATAATTATTCCTACGAAATGGTAGCATTAACCCACTAACAGAGATATCGGCTCGACGGCGGTATGCGACCTTCAATTATTTTCTTTGGTACACATTCGTAACAACAGATGTCACCGTAGAACGCAGAATTAAAAGAATGAGTGTCTTACAGACAGGTAAATAACGTTTAATCCGTATATGAGAGGGTTCTCAAGGCGGTAAACATTTTAATGTTGGTTTTATTAGTTTTAATGATACGTGGCGACGAGGCCTTGATGATGGAGGCAGCTAGCACATCTGAAACGTCAGTAAACTTCTACCACACTATGCGGACCATCATCGCATAAGACAGCCATCTTCATACTCACCGCCGTGAAAACCTAACGTATCACAATATATTTAGTTTGTTCAGATTTTAGTGACGAAAGCCTGGAAAATGTTTCAGTGGGATAAAGGAGTAAAGACGAATATGATAACTTTACCTTTAATGAAGTCCACAGCCATCTCAAGTCCATACGTGTCCTTATCGCAGTCGTCCAAGATGTGGGCCCCGATGGTCACGTTGGGTATCATCTGGGGATCCCTGTTAAGTACGTCCAGAGTATAGAGCATCGTCTCCAAAGCTTGGATGCCTCCTTGTGGCATGATGGGACCACACGTTATAGAATCCTCTCGTTCGTGAACCATCATAAGTCCTCCCAAGATCAAATCGCCCGACACTTCGGCAGATAACTTCACCGGCCACGCTGGCACTCCATCTGACGCACTGTCATTACGTAGAAACGCTACCGAAATATCCGATGTTGATCTGAAATGCGACTCTGTGCTCGATTGGGGTGGGTAGGCTGTGTTCCACCTGCTTTCATCCGTGTAATAAGACGCGGGAGTTGAAAAATTTATGTCGTAACTCTCCGACGCGACAAATTCGTAATTTGTTTCGCTAGTATTGTAATATTCTCTTAAGTCTGACGCAGATTCTCCATTTTCGAGTTTGCTAGTATTTTTGTAGACGTCGTTGTTTGCTGTGAAACTGTGACCGGCCGTTGACGTAATAAAATTTGTAAACGTATTCTTATTAAACGTTACGTTTTCTGATTGTTTGTCCCCGTGGTTAATCTTGTCATCACCTACGGAATTACTGCTGTTTATGAACTGCGTAGACGTTAATGTGGAAGTAACTTGGATATTCACATCTGTTAACTCCAAGCTCAATTCTCCATAAAATTTTGTGTCATTTGAATGAGTAATAATTGCCACATTATCGTTTACAGAATTACTGTTTTCAACATAAATTGTTCTATTGTTTCCTGGAGGAAGATCACTAGCATTTAGAATTAGTTTTTGGGTTATAATCTGTGAAATGTTCGTATCTGTCGACAATTTCTCCATATCACTTGCGCGAGGTACGCTTATGGGCCGCGTATTTTCTGAATTTAAATGTTTCATGAAATCTGAACTATTCTGACCAGTTTTGAACAAGAATTCACTTACGCTGACATTATAAAGTTGTGACCTCGCAGTGTCTCTGATTCTTAACGTTCTTAAACTGTCCTTTTCTCTCTCCTGTGACAGCGAGGTCGTGGAAGTATCACCAGTCTCATCTCTTCTTCCGAAAGTCTGCTCAAGGTCACCGACGTTTCCGGTATTATCACTGTTTGACGCATCAGAATTAACTTGACCTGATAACTTAAAATTGTTAACATTTCCTAAATCTTGCTCCAGGGTGTATGGCGTCAGAGTTGAACTCACATTGTGAACTGTATCAGTATTATAAATAACACTGTTATCTCCTTCTACGTCATCAAAACCCCCTCCCGTATTTTCCGAATTATTACCCCCAGTTTCATCCACCCTCGACCCATTTATTTCAACCATTGTCACTCCGTAGATGATAGGGTTTTCAACTTGAACGTTTAAAATGTTGATATCTAAATTGTTATTTACGAAGCCTTCTGCGTCATCGAGCGTCGTTCCAATATTTTGAATTCTGGATTCACTTTGCTGGGCTTCAGTGTAAACAGTATTACTACTCGGTCCAGCCACCTCTGTATCTCGTACTACGCTGAAAGTCTCTTCCGTGGGGTTGGCGTCTAGACGCATCTTCTTTTCTGTTCTAACAAAACTGTCTCTTGTTTCACTCTCGGTAATGTTTGTATTGATCAGAGTTGACACACCAGCCAGCTTCTCGTCGTCAGCTTCTGAAGCTTTTAAAACCAGACTGCCACCCGTTTCGCCGATACTCAAGCCTGTGGAACCGTAAATGCCTGAGCCTTTTGTGTTCACACTCGTAATTGCGTCATCGCTCATTTCAGTGCCTGCGTTTAAATTTGAACTGTGTTTTCCCTGAAGGCTCCATTCATTGTGCGTACTGTTACTGCTATTAATTATTTTAATGAGTATATTTCGTAGTGGCTTTGATATCTCTTGTACAATTGAATTTTCCTTTGCTAATTTATTTACCTGTACGTCAGTGCTCTCTTCTTGTACAGGGAAACTTGTATTGCTTGTAAAATTTGAGATTAATTTCTTCGAAGATAAGTTGGTTTCATGAAAGTTGTTAAGGTTTATATACGAGTTCCCTCCTTCATACAATGTTTGCATTTTCAGCGATTCGTATATTGCCTTCGCATTCGTGGTGGGTGTAGAAGTGTTTGAAAAGAAGATATTTTCCGAATCGTTGACGTTAAATCTGAATGACTGTTTCTCGCTGTGAAAGGAACCGTTCGATTCACTTAATTCTCGATCAGTTGTCGGTAACTTAAGCTCTTTCTCCGTGAACTGCTTTGGACCTGATTCGAATTTCGAACGAATTTCACCAGCCCGTTCATTTCTTTCGGTAAAGAAAGTTGTTCCAGCAGATGGTACATCTTCTTTAATGGATTTCTGGTGTGACATAAAAGATTTCTTTAACTCGCGAGTAACAGTGTGTGACATCGTCGCTTTCATGTGGGAAAAATACGGACTGTTCGTGGTCAAATCGGAGTCTTTCGTCTCGGAAACAATTTGCTGACCATTTGCTGAGGTCAGCCTACCGACATCTGATACAAATCGGTGTTTCTGTGAGGCAAATGAGCTGGGGCTATCGTCAGTCTGTGTGTGTGTAGAACTTGATGAATGGTCTGCTGGCCCATCTTTTTGAAACTTGGACACTTGTGGCTGAGAACTGTGAATGTGATGACGGACATCAGATCCACCGAGCACGCGCGACATAACAGAAGCGTCGCAAATGAAGATTTTGACGTCGAATATCGCGAGCATCAGAGTCAAAATTGTTAACAGCTGGACACTAAATAACAATCTACACGTAAATGCACACACAGCCTTCACCATAATGAGGCAGATTAGTCAGTTCGTAAACTTGATGCTTAAATAATCTCAATGAGACGTTTTTGAATCTGCACAGCGAAGTCTCTTCTTGCCTCTGTTTGCTTCCTGCTGGAGTGAAAAATGTCGTTCCATTCTAACCCTTCCGTCAGCATCGGATACTCCACCTGTAACAATACAGAATGAAAATTATCACGTTATATTTATATTGAATGTAAAAAAAAAATACATTCATCATTGGTTCATCATTTAATATTTTAAATATTTTAAATGTTAATTATTGTATTATTTTAATATTTTATAAGAATTATTGTGTTTAGACGGACTAGATTTAATATATATAAAAATATATTTGTTGCTTGTAAGCCTAATTAATGTTAAGATTATATTTATTGCTTACTTTTATTTATTAATTATTTTATGTAGACTGAAAAATTACTAAAATATATAGACCACGCATATTTTAATAAAAATTATAGTTACTTAATGTTTACTTTCTTCGTACGCCGTTTAATATCAGTAAATTATTAAACTGGACGATAAACATACGGACTCAAATAACGATCTAAAATACCTGTTATTTAATACGCAGGTTATTATCTCTGGTTCATGAATGTAGCAGAAATTTCTGGTGAATTATATTGAATTTTTCATGTTGCAAATTTGGGTATATGAACGTTCAGTTTTGTCAGATTTCAATTATTATTTATCAGTACGCCTAAATAGATATATTTCACAGAACATGTAATTCCGTATGGATTAAATTTCACGTCAAAATTCGAAAACTGTGGCTTAAATGTCAATACCAACATCTGACACAAATCCAGAAAGCTTAACTAATTAAATTCAGCAGAATACTACACCGCTTTGCATCACCTAACTTCGGTTGTGACAAAGCACAGAGAGGTTTCAGTATTAAATTACTTGGTTTAAATCAAATTAGAAGCGTTATAAATACTAAATGCCTTCAGATTATTTAAAGGAAGAAGTGAACAAATCAATCTATATTAATGGATCATTTTAGTTACGTACATTCCATTATCCCTAACAAATCACACTCAACATAACAACGGAAAGTCAAGTGATATTTAATTGCCGCTGGTTTTAAAGGTGAAGATGACATTTTATTGGTAGATAAAATTTATTTATGGCGTGCATTTTCACACTGTACATATTATGATTAAATAATTATACAAAACACGAGGATATCAAAGAGAAAGAGTGAGAGAGAAGGAAAACAAATAAAGACCAAGAAATAAAATAAAGAGAGAAAATAGGTTTCTCAGAAAGGAAAATATAAATTTTCCAGAATTCTCAAATGTCAGACTCCTCAACGCAGCCCAGAAACCTACAAGAAATTAATAAAAAAATATTCTTAGAATTATCTGGATTAAGTTACTTAAGATACTACACGCTTCAAATTGTAACTATTTATAAATAAAACGTTTATCCTATTATCCTTATTACTATACATTCTACCCCAAAAAATTACAAGCTGATGCTATCTGAGTAACATTTAAAATATATCATCGCACAGAAACACCTAGCCAATACACTGAACAGTTTTAGAGATCTGACTTAGTATGACGAAAATGTGTCAATTAATGCCTGGAATATTAATGCCATAATTTAACTACGATTGGGCTAATCCACTAATCTTGCTAACAGAATGGCTTAGAAACGGACAAAATTGAAATATTTTGATCGAACCTTTTTTTACGCATAATTTTAACAAACGGAAATGCAGTGGCTTATAACAGAGTGAATCCACGCACGTGCGCTACTGAACTGGCACGTAATACTGTGGCATACGCAAGAACCCACACGTAGTTTTATTGACGTCTAACAATATAATACAAATTGAGCTTCAACACAATTTTAATGATATTTGAATGTAATTTCGTTCAATGCTCTTACCAGATAATTATGTTACACTACACTTCTCTCAGATGTAAAGTTAGTGTTAGAGACAAACGCTAATCAAAGCAGTCAGGTTCGCTGAACAACGATATAATTCGGATATAGTGACGTACTAATTTATATTAATATAGTAAGAGAGCCCTAAATAGTGCATTTTTATGTCAAAAATTTTCTAAAACATAATATAGAGTAAAATATATTAAATATCACAGTACAACAATCTGAATGAGATGGAATAGAGTATTTTCTACTATAAAAATTTGCGATTTCGTCGTCGTCAATAAATTACGTCCAAGAGAAAAATACTGTTGTGTGATTGCACAGTGCTATACCCAAACGGAGTTAATGTTATAAAAAGATGACGTAGACAATAAAAAATAAAGACAAACGAAAACCGATATGAGATTTCTTAATTCGGTAATGAGAGTAGCTTCGAGAGACGGTCCGTAAAATGTAGAATCGAGAATCAGACGTAAAACTACATTCACAATAAGGCACTATCTATATCTGAGAATAGTTTAGTTAGACAGAATTCACTGATGCAGCCAAATGGCATATATTGTCTGATACGAAGACAGGAAAAGGAATTTAACTTTTCAATCTCGAAACGGTATAAAAAATAAACAATCTTTGTCGACGAATACAAGTAAGATATTGTCTTGCGCACATTCTGTATTAATATATATTTCAGCATGTAATCTTCACTGCAGCGGAGTAATAAAGGAACACTTTGCTTGTTTTCCAATACTGAATACTTAAACAGGGAACGTGTACCTGCGAGTAGACTGAGTTAGTTGCACATGGAAGTTCAGGACAACAATCTGAAAGTCAATGAGGAGTATTCAGAATGAACGCAACGAGAGGCTTTTTTGTATTGACGGCGTACTCCGAGGAACCGCATTCCTAAATCAAGATGCAGTAAAATTAGCAATAAGACGCACATTTTGTAAAAAAAAAAAAAAAAAAAAAAGTGCTCAGTTCCTACTCACTCTAATTCTGCTGACATCAAACTAACTCTTTTCCTTCCACACCGAAAATGGTTCTATTCGAATAATCTACGTACGAACTCAAGTATGCACGCATGTTTTGTTGTCACTTTACGACAGTATTTAGTTCGGACACCTAAGTTTCGAACTATATTCAAATTCTTCATCTCTTACATATGTATCAATTTCATACTGCTTACAAGTTATTTTCCTTACATACTAATCTCGCGATTACACGAAGGAAAGCTAACTGGCTGGGACATATTATGAGAAGGAATGGGTTACTGAGTGATATCATCGAAGGCCAGGTTGAAGGAAAGAGAGGACTAGGAAGAAGATTGATACAGCTAACCGACGACCTTAAACAAGGAAAGAAGATGACGTTCCAGGAATTAAAGCGAGAAGCCGAGAATAGGGACAACTGGAGAGCTCTTTTTGGGCAGAGCAATGGACCTGTCGTAAGACAGAACACTTAATAATAATAAAGGTTAATAAAAATGCCGGCAGGGTGCAGCACAGGATCGGACGTTGCGGCTGATGTTGGATGATAATCCCTGAATGTATTACTGAGATAGGTTGGTACGGATGAAATGTGCCCCTTCAGAAAGATAAATCTGGAGGGCCACATCACTTCCTTGCTGTGTTACGTACTGTACAATGAAGCAAGTTTCTAAGCAACTGGATTTAGTATCCAGGGTCGTCGAAAATCTTTCACGTCTTCAGTTGTCATGGAGCTGTTATTACTCAGAATTAATTTTTAAAACTGTGAATCGCTTGATTTATGACAGGATTTTGTGTGTGCAGGATTTCTGCCCAACCTTTTAAGTACACCTGTAGTTTAAGCCATGACCAATTAATTATTATTATTATATTATTTAGTGTTCTGTCTGACGACAGGTCCATATGAACAGGATCCTTCCATCCTTTTCTCGGACTGGGACCTGTTCATATACGTTCTTGGCAGATGATCCAGAAGGGGTTTGCCATTGCCTTCTTCTGTGTGTATGGAGTAATGAGTAATTGTTGGGATGCCACGGAGAAAAACTCCGTGTTGCCTAGACCACGGCCTTGCCCAACACAAGTTAGAAATTCGGGCACCGCCGGGAATCGAACCCGAGACCCCAGGATTACAAGGCCAGCGTCCTAACCGCTAGACCACCGTAATCTCTCGTTGTATACCGCGATCTCTGAATGTGAATTAATTTTGAAACAGCCGATCTGCAACCGAATTAACCAGCTCGTTGCCAGTCTCGTTATATTTAGCCCAGATTCATGGGATAATTCACCTTACTCTGTCGTCGATTTTGGGGCACCTTATCGTAAGCGGCTCACGTGCGTCACAGGGAGATAAACGCGCTTAGAGCAACAACGGCGTAAGTAGCATCGCTTCTTGAATTTCAGTTATTTATATTGACTCCCCTCGCAGTTCGTGGACTAACCTATGGGAACAGTCCAATAGAACTTGATCAAAACTGATACCCGGTCCCTTGCACCGTGGATCAGCGCGAAGTTTGCGTATGCCCGGGGTTCAGTGGCGTGCGGATGTACGTACGTATCAGCGATTTGACTAAGAAGTTTAAAACGTGTGAAATTAGTAACCGTTTTATATTACGTATTAAATTAACCGCGAAAAGACTGCGTTTTCCCTACGCACAAAAGACAAGAAAATACTTAAGTAAATTATTTAACGACG